AAAAAATTTTCAAAGGGAAAACAGAGAGACACGGGAGAGACGAGAAGATTAATAGATAATCCAACTCAAACTAACCAGCATCGCTTTTTCAGCCTCTGTTTGAGTGGCAGGTTCTTCCTTGGCCTTGTCATGAGGAGCTCGACGAGGCCTGAAATTCCACAGTTTTTTAAACCTAAATCTAAACCACAATTCGACAGATCAGTCACTGATCGATCACTGATCATCGATCATCAATCAATCGATCACAAACACAAACACAAATTGAACACAAATCAAAATCCTATAGTTCAGAAAGACTTCAGAATGGCTCCGCGGAGCAGTTCCCAAGCTCCGGGCAGCCGCGCAGTGGAGCTTCCCTAGCCAACACCTACTTTTCCTCCTCTTCGACCTGAGGTGGAGCAGCCTCATGTTCGGGTGCTGCTTCAACCTGATCTCCATCCCCGACATCAGCTTCCTCTTCTTCACCCACCTCTGCTTCCTCCTCGTCCTCTTCTTGCGAACTGCAATGAATTGATAATTCGTGTTCAGTTCGCATCAAAATTTTGCGCTGCACGTTCAGAATTTGAATTTGAACTGTGCGCAATGTGGCAGCTATATATCACAGCAGTTCACAGTAACATTAAATAATAAAAAATAAATGATAAAAATGATAAAAATAAATTTTTATAAAATAACGATAAAAATTTACTATTCCTCCTCTTCGTCGGCCATTACTATTACTATTACTATTAGTGCAGCTCTCTAGTGAGGGTCCGTCCGGTTCGTTGGTTTGCTTAGCCAATTCGGAGTACAATCCCGAACTCCCTGAACGAATAATATATCCGGTAAACTTGATAGAAAACACAAAAACATTAGCATAATATCAAATAATAACAATAATAATATCAAGCCTCAGAAAGCCTACAGGACTACTCTAGCAAGGGATAGAAGTTGAGGTCTTAAATGGAAACTGGTTGCATTATAGAGCTGCAAGAGCTGACGACGGGAGCTTCATCTGAGCTCAGTGGGGCATGAAGTCAAGCTAGATGGAGGCTTATGATAGACTGAGGTGGGTTGGTTGGGATAAGATAAGATAAAATAAGATTAAGATTAGGATCAAATAAATGGGATTTGATTGATCTTGTGGGTTCAATTGGATGAATGCAGCTGTTCGATTTAGACTGATCAGGCGATTCATCAACATATTTATATAATATAGAGCTGCAAGGTATTTTTTTGGGGGTTTGATAAGGATTGTGTTGTGGTATGGTGTGATTGGCTGCGATTGGTGTTAATGTGGATAAAGGGAGGGATATAGAGCTGCAACAGAGGCTCGCTGAATGGCTGGGATTTGATTGATCTATGGAAATAATCTCTACAACAGCAACACCATCATGATAAAGCGATTTGGTCACGGGTATGAAGCTGTAAGCTTCTAACAATACCACAACACAA